TCCCAAGAGAATGACACGTGAAATCGTAAAATAGTATATAGGCCCAAGTTAAAGTGGTATATTCCCACAAACCCCCTGATGATTTGTGCATGTACATGTTTTCAAAATTACACAACCAACACGGCAGACGTCTGGGTTTTTGGCTTCCGTCGATGAATACTTTATTTAACCGCTGGAAATTTGATTGAAGGAAGCCAAAAACACAGATGTCTCGAATAATAGCTCTCGTGCGCAGTGTTGAAAAAATTACCTGAAAAGGTTTTGATTGGTTCGTCCTTGAGTTTCCAGGCAAGACCAAAGTCAATCAACTTGACTTTTGCGTCATCACTGAGATCTAACAGCACATTCTCTGGCTTCAAATCATTATGGAGAACACCTTTCTTCTCGAGGTACTCTACCGCATCGAACAGCTGACGGAAGATTCTCCTGCCTTCAGCTTCGTCTACAGCGTTGTTGTCATGGAGAGTGAGGTACTCAAACAAGTCCGTGCATTGGGGTGGTCGCTCTGTGACAAGCACGTGGTGGCCATCAAAGTAATGGTGTTCAAGAAGCTTGATGATGTTGGGGTGGTCAAGCTGGCGCTGAAAGTACACTTCAGCTGGGATGGTATGGTTTGGACCAGCCTGCAGCATTTAACCATGTAAGTATTAGGATCTTACTCTTATGTTAGTGTAGTAGAAGCTAGTGGCATTCGCAAATAATGCCTGATGTTGTATTTGATGGAATAGGAAATGCAGAATAGACCGCTCTACCTTGGGCGTTATGTTTTGCCATTTCTGAAACACGTGTCATTCCCTTGAGAATAAGATTCTTTGTTTGAGTTGTATCCATATTTATGTGTCTTCTCATGAACAACCGTTAAACAAAGAAATGATACTCTAGGGAATGACATAAGTGGTCTGAARTGGGAAAACATTACACCCAAGGTAAAGAGGTCTTTTTCTGCATAACGTTTTCAATAGCAGTTAGATTATAGTATCAATCCTAGATTCCGTCCAACGTTGGTCCAACCTGGATCATCGTCAATCATTCTTTGAACAACTAGATTATGAGCATAAGTGGAAAAGGAAATGCAGCAAGCATCAAGATTTATTTAAATAGGCCTAGGCCTGTCTGAATTGAGGCTTTCCTTAGTCAATATGAACAAGAGAACGATAAGGGAAAGAATAGATACAGATAATACTGCAATGCATGATATAAGTTACCTCAATGTTCTGAACGTGTCTTTTTGGGACGTATTTGATGGCAACCTAGATAGAATATGGATAGGCAATGAGTATACAGTTACGACGCATTGACGCCGGGGATGTGTTAACATGAACGTACACCTGTTGCTTGTTGGATAACATCGATTCAAGAGGAACTTACAATTTGTTTAGTTTCTTACCAACAACTGATCTTCTCTTCTGATACCAGCATACACTTTACCAAAAGACCCCACGCCAAGCAGTTCTCCTTGATCAAACCTCTGAAGGAACGAGCATTTTACTGATTCCAAGGCTGCAAAAAGGATAAAATAATCACTGAAAAATCAAGAAGAATTGGGACACAAACGTCCTGGACTAGTGGAGAAAAGTTGAACAAGGTACCACTTCTGAGGAGCAATATATACGAATTAAAATGCAATAGTTACCTCTCCTGGCAACTAAGATTCTTCGTTTTAGTAGCCGGGATCGAGGCGATATCGATTGCTCAGTGTCACCAGTGATTAGCCCATTTTCAACGAGTTTTGGCTCGTCAACTTTTTGTGACGACTCATCAGCGACATCCCTGGAACCGTCCTTCGCTATTATCACCTCGAGTTGTGATAACTTAGAAGACTGGGAATTTTCTGGAGGATTTTTTGTCGTGYCACTTTTGAGCTTTTCTTGGCAGTTTTTGGAAGAATTTCTGGTTGATGCGATGGTCTCGTACTGAAAGACAGAAACATGCGCGATTTGAATGATAACGATTTAAAACAGTAGCAAGAAGTAGAATATTCAAATTTTATCGATACCCTTAAACAAGCTCTAAGCTAATCTAAGTTACATAAGGCACTGCAAACTCACAGATCGAATTGGGCTGATCAAAGTAAGGACATAGCTAACCCACAGGTTGTTAGGTCCCACAGAAAAACTAAAAGAAAGATTAAGCCTTTAAAACTACGCGAGAGCAGTGGTTTCTTTTTCATGTAAAGTAAAGGACAAAGTACTGCACTTTGGAAATGAACGAACGTTAAAATTAAACTAAATGGGATGTATTTTCATGCTTCTATTTCATATGATGCTTGACGTTAAAAAAGAAAGGTGTGACTTACAGTGAATTCACCAGGAAGACTCTTGAACAACTTCTTTTCAGGCGTTTCTGAAGTAGCATCATTACGGCAAGAACTCCAGCGCCGTTTAAAAACTCTATACCAAACAAAATACATAAGATAAAACCTTACGTCTTCATTTTGAGAGTCGAAACTTTGCAAAAAATGAAGGAATCTCTATTGCGTGGAGTGTAGTTTGATGGCAACAACATTTAATCGATAAAAGACTAGCAACATTTTAAAAGTTTTTCCTTCGTCTGATTTATTCAGAACATCAACCACGTGACTATCAAAGATACTTACATTGTCTTCTGTTGTTGTGACATTTTTTAATTTCAAAATTCGCGATTAACGTTTTTTTCCACTCGTTACTTTGAAAAGTCGTTGACTTTGAAAAAGCATGGAAAAAGTGATGCGTTGTCTTGGCGATGGTATTTATTTGGTTTGAGACGTGATCTGACGCGAGCGGCAGCATTGTCCCGTCACCGCACGGCCCTCGCGCTCAACATTTGCGCGCGCTCAAAGGAGGATGTTTCACTAGCATGCTTTGCGCGCCGTACTCATTATGCATCTGTCTTTAGCGTTTGTTTGAAAAATTTTCTCTCGACGTCGATTTTCCTCGATTTTTTCGCCAAACGAAAACAGCAGCCGTTTGCTTATTAAATATTTTCTGCAGACATAATGACAAACAATAGAAAGTCTGGTCATTTAACTGGGACCTTGTTCGGTATTTTTGTAATTTTTGCTATAGGAAAAATCAAAATATGCCGTATCAATGAATGGATAGAAAAAGATAAAAGTTGTTTTGACAAGCGAAGTGTTTGTAGGCTTTGAATTATGTGGGAATAAGTCGAAATTAGACGAAGAAAATTTAAAAAAGAACACACCCTACACAAAGTATAGTCTTCATACTATCCTATATCCCTTAAGTCTCCTTAAGTCTCCACGTTTGAGTGAGATACGGCCATTACAATTTCCACTAAAATTCGCCATGTGTTTCGCTTCGTCTTGTCTTATGTCCTTGATCTGACGTGACCTGCTGGATTACTAAAAATGGTATTTTTGACTATCTTATACAATTCTGATAATCTTGATTTTAAAATTCAAATTTATACTTATAATAACAACGATAATGTAAAATGTTATATATTTTTTATTTAAGTCAATCGAAGGTAGTTTTATTAAAGAGGAAAAAGAGTTAAGCTTACTTTTATTCACAGCACGTGTCACAAGCCCGACAAACAATTCAAGAATTTCCTTAATCTAACAAACTATAAACGAATAAATAGTCAAACCACTAGAAACTAATTTTATTCAACTCAAGAAAGCCAAACCTATAATATTCAACAGTGCAGATAGTGTAATTTTCTTTAAAAACTCAAATTTACAAAAAACTTAAAAGTTCAAATGCAAAGGCAAGACATTCGAAGAAAATCCTCGATCGTAGAAAGTAGATTATATATTTTTCTCAAGGGTAGATAAACAACAACAAACTTAATACATGGCTTTCGTATATTACCTCGAACAACAGCTGATAGATAAAACTTTATTCAGCAGCGATTTTCTTCCGGAAAATCGAGACTGTCATTGTTCAAAACGATGCAAGTCTTCTTTCTTCAATAAAAATGCCTGGGAAGATGGCTGATAACTGTCACAAATGTAAAACACGTAATACCAGCAAATTCAGTCTAATTGGTCCTTTTTGTGGACAATACAATAGAGAAAGAGAAGATCTGAAGTGGAAAAGGGCTCACGATTTCCCTCTTTAATCTCCATAGTCGAGTTCATATAGTCGATGTTTCTGCATTGACATCAAAGCGAAAATGAGTAGATCATGTGACTTTTCAGTGTGATAATATAGTTGGTCGAGGCGCGCAAAGCATGCTAGTGAAACATCCTCCTTTCGCGCGCTCGAACAAACCACTTCGTAAAATGTAGAAATGCACCCTCCACGTTTTAGCACAGGTAGCCCAAGCTATAGTTTTATGAAATCGTATATATWGAGATTGTATATATTTGTGTATTAATGTTTTGCATTGCATGCTTTGTGGTTTGTTTCTCTTGAAGCAAGAGGCAATGGTCTCTTGGTTGTAGTTAAAAGCGATTTTGGAGGTTTTATTATTTATTTTCCTCTCTAAAGACGAAATTTATTTATATTTAATGAAACTTAATGATCTCCCATAGACTCTTATTATCTACTATTTCATAACAATAGTTTAAGAGTTTTAGAAATATTTCAAGCTTGTAAGCTCAGGATCCGACCAGAGGGAAGGGGGAATGAAACCAGGTAGTCCATCGAGACCCTCAAAGAAATATCTTTATATCTACAATTTTCCCACACGATGAAAAGGTATGGAGCTCCACCAGAAAAACAGTCATTTCAAAGTCGTAAGAAAAAACAAACGAAACGAGAAGAAAGAATAATGAATAGAAAAAGATAAATATTATAAGAACAGGAAAAGAAAAACCAACAAAAAAAAAAACAAAAAACAAAAAAACCCCAACAACAACAAACAACAACAATAACAACAACAAAAACAACAACAACAACAACAAAAACAACAACAACAACGACAACAACAACAACAACGACAACAACAACAACAACGACAACAACAACAACAACGACAACAACAACAACAACAAAACAAAGGGAGCACCAGTTTCTACTCTGTTCTACACCAAAGCGAGGCCATATTAGGCCCAGTCTTCCTACAGAATGTACAACGTTTGTTTCACGACTGTATTCATTAATATATAACACGTGTAGTTCTTCTGCTTTTGTAGTCAACAAACTTTCCCATTCAAGCAGAATATTGGTCCAATTTACCCGAGGGATGGCTAAAATTATCGAATGTGTTCCTAATTTCTCCGAGGGCCGTGACAAAGGTGTCATCGATGCCATTTCACAGTCAATCGCTTCGACTCCAGGGGTCAGTTTATTGGATGTTGACCCAGGAGCATCAACAAACAGAACTGTCTACACGTTTGTTGGTTCACCAGATGATGTCGTGCAGGGAGCTCTGAATGGTGCAAGGGTAGCAGCTGATCTTATTGATATGAGAGCACATCAAGGTGCAGAATAATTTAATACCTCCATGTGAACTGGTTCAACTTATTTTGTTTTTTAAAAGCTTATATTTACAACCCTTCATCTTTTGTAGTTTTTGTCATCTTCAAAAACCTTTTTCAGTTCGTATTTATTTAGTTTCCTAAACAAATGTTGAATGAGGTACATCCTCCTCTTGGTTTCTAAGGAAGGGTGTGCCTCTTCACCAACTCGTAAAGGATGGGTTTATGGACAGCCAATTGCCCAACCCCCTTCCTTCATGTATATATGTTGTATAGATTGGTTTTCATTTGAGTTGGAAGTGATGTGGCAAATTTGTCACCTGATCTTTTACTGCAGTTTTAGATGTTCTGCAAACTTCAATCAAAAATAATTAGTGGGTACCTTTCATATTCTTGACTGGTGGCAGTGAAAAACCAATTTTGCAACAAGAAATTGAAAGTTTGCAGTTTGCAGAATATCGAAAACTGCAGTAATCATTGCTGTACCATTTCTTGCAGTAGCTGTTACCTATGCATTGCATTGTGGCTAGAATAATTACTGGAAGAGAATGAGAAGCCATTTGGAATTGAAAATGAACATTAAGAGCACCGAATTCATATCTACGTAAACAGTAATAACATTAAATTTGAAATCTTTTTTTCCATCTTTTTAGATTTAAGATAAACTTTTGATATTGTAATTTTGATATTGTTAATATATGTATATATATAATTTTTGTAATTTTGTAGTTTTTGTAGTTTTATTTTGTGATTTCATGATGAATGTAAAGCTACTCTGTAGATATGTCATCATTAAACTGTTATGATTATGATTATGATGATGATTATTATTATTATTATTATTTTGATATTTATGACATGTCATACTGTGTACATGTTGTAAGTCAGTACTGTATGTGTCCCAGTCACCAAAACCACTAGATTGTACATTCATTGTACAGTACCTCAATGCATGTAATTCAAGCCATCATTACTCCTTTGGCCCTGGTCCCATCATTGATTTGTTCATATGTGTCATTGTGTGTTTGTGCAGGTGAACACCCAAGACTAGGTGCTCTTGATGTCTGTCCATTTATTCCTGTCAGTAATGCAACAATGGATGACTGTGTACAGTGTGCTAAAAGCTTTGGTGAAAGAGCTGCAAAAGAGATAGGAATACCAGGTTAGGTGATATGTCATCATTGCCAAAAGAATAAAATAACAAAAGCTGGTCAACAAATATCACATAACATGCATAACTCACAGTTGAATTGGAAATAAATCAAGTGTGTTAGGTCTTGCAAAGGGAGGAAAATTGACGAGAGACCTGTAACAAAACTCTACTCAGATGTGATGCAGTGTCCAGGAATCAAACCTGAGATGACATAGGTGAATAGTGAGTGCACTACTGCCAGTAACACAGCCCTGGATTCTCCAACAAAAAAGTTTGCTGCATGAAGATATGGCACGTCATAAGTTTGTATTAAGGGCGGAGTCTAATAATTTTTCCATGACTTGCCCCTTCTCCAACAAAACAACAAACAGTCCAGGGCTCAAAATAGAAAACTTTTTTAGCCTGCCATAGTAAAGGAGCATGGTAAAAGGAGGTCATTCGAGTAAATTTTGCATGTCATTTAATTATTCATTTGGCAGTGCATCCTTATTTTCGCCTGCCAAACCTGAAATTTGTCCTGTCATTTGGCCATTGTCAGGACGCTATTTCAAGCCCTGCAGTCGTATTAGAGGATATCTCTCACCAAATTTAATCACTTGATAAATTTGTTTGTTTGTCAGTTTATCTTTATGGTTATGCATCTGAACAAGATTACAGAAAGTCAGTTCCACAAATTAGAGTTGGTGAATATGAAGGACTATCAAAAAGGGTACTAAATAATCATTATTACTGTTTTTATTGATACATGCTGATGGAGATAATGAAATGTCGTGACAGGTTAATTCGGCAGTAAATAATCATATTAAACTCTTATAAAATATTTGATTGATTAGAGTCTACTGCTGATGAAGTTTTGTCTTGATCAATGCATAGCTGCAATGAAAGCAGTGGTAAACCTGATATTACAGTCAATTTTTGTTTTGAACAACTTGTGGTTCTAACATGAAATTGTTTTTCAGTGCTACAAATGAAATGATCACATAGCTAATCTTGARTGAGGGGCAGTTTGCTTCAATAATAATAGAGCATAATATAATATCTCTATATATTATATACTAAATCCTTTAATAAGTTTAGATATTTTCTTTGGTATTACAGGCTAAGGGCAATTATTGTTGGCTCACATTTCCCCATCTTGCTTTGGGATTAAAAAAAACATTTGCAATGCACGTATCAGCCAGCAATAGTAAACACAGCTCTTTCAATTTATCTCTGATTCAAGACTAAGAAAATAAAAATAAAATGCCACAAATCCCATCAAAAAATGTGATAATTTCTTTTGTATTTTCTGCTAAAACCTTGCATTTTGTTTTAAGAAGGCTCTAAAATTACATTTATTGTATTCTGGAAAAAAATATACAGACATTTTAGTGTTTCAGCAAATGCCTCCTTCACTGTAACAAGAAATGTACAGTTAGTTATTTTTTAAATGTATTTTTTAAAAATCTTTAGATTGTTACACCAGAATGGGCACCCAATTATGGACCTGCCGAGTTTAATGCAAAGTGGGGAGCAACAATAGCTGGTGCCAGAAAGTTCTTAATTGCTTACAATATCAACATCCTTGGAACAAAAGAACAAGCTCATAAGATAGCACTGAACCTCAGGGAGGGAGGGAGAGGACCAGATAAGGTACGTACTGCATATACAAATTGATTGTCTTTTATTGCTCTTTACAGTCGTATTTTTATACAATAGTAATTGATAATTAACAATTATTCGCCAAAAGGTGAAGTGAATATTGGGGAAAATTTACCGAGATGCAAGTCTTCGAGCAGCGAGGTAAATATTCTCCGACATTAACTGAGGTGGAGGCAAATAATTGTTTTAGTATAAGTACACATTTGATTCTTTCAAAAAAATAAAAAATAAAAGACATTTTTTCCCCGTAACAGCAACGAAGTGGCTGGCCACCATTTTGGAATATGCATGTAACTGGAGTTGATTACTGTATTGTGTGATAGTGTGAGTTTCTCAACCAATCATGAGGTTGCAATATTTTCAATAATCACCTGTGTWTTTTTGCTAAAAAGATATATTATAGGAAATATATATAGTTGTACAAATTTCTTATGTAATAAGAGAATCATGGAATCATCATGGAATAAGGAATCTGATGCAGTCTGATTGTTTGTGCAAAAAGGATGTACCAGCAGTGATAGTTGGTGCAATGCTGAGTTCATTGCTAGCAGGGAACATACACACACTAATGGGTTGAAATTTAATGTTCAAGCTGGTCTATCCATACAAATATTGAATATTAGGGGGGTAATTTTTAATAATCATTTCAATGTTGTTACATGTACATTGCAATGTACAGCCAGGAAGATTAAAGAACGTCCAAGGTATGGGCTGGTGGTTGGTCGAAGAGAATATTGCACAGGTGTCTCTCAATCTTCTGGACTATGAAGAAACCCCAATGCATGTGGCATTTGAAGAAGCAACTAAAGATGCCAAGGTGAGATACTGTACTTGCTATAGATAAACATGAAAAGATGACTAGCTAAAAACTAGTGTGAGCTACATAAACTCTATGAGTTCACATATTATTTTTTTCTCCACCTAAAGCTTTGGTCACTATTTTTGTTGATAGTTTTTGCCCGGGGGGGGGGGGGGGGGGGTACTCCCTTTGTTTAGGTGGTAGGGGTGATCGGCGATCGATTTTTAAAATGGCCCCTAAAAGGTACGCATAAATTAAAAAGGATCTTAAAACCAACCTGATTTCAAACCCTAAAAGGTACAGCTTTATTTCAGTAATTTACTATTAACCCCGGTTATCAACGCCGGTTTAACGAATGACAGGACGGCGTATAATAAGATTATAACGATGATCATATTAAAGAAATATTTAGTGCATCATTGTAAAGTAAAC